TGAGCCGGTAAGGGAGGGGGTCCCCGGCAGTGTTTCTGCCTTGTAACAAGGTACAGCCCGGCACGCCTGCATCCTCCTGCCATGGTGCCATGGTTCGACACCCAGGTAACTAGAAATGAATGACTTGGGACAGGTCCGGTCCTCAGCGGGTGCTGCTTCACACAGAGCCACTGCTGTCAGCTCCACAGAGGCGGATTTACCCCCCTGCCCACCAAACTTCGTGTCTGGGGTGCACAAGAGAGCAGGACTGCAGCCTAGAGGGAGAGGGCAAAGTGTGGGAAAAGGATCCCCCTTTTTGTGTCCAAGGGGTGCGTGAAATTTCTGGATAGCAGTGTGATGCCTGAGCGTGCTGGGGCCCCATGTGAGAAATCCATTAGGAAGAGTCTGGAGAGAATTAAAGCCACTGTGAAAAGCGGACTGGAGAAACAGGAGACAGCAGAGCAGAGGGAGGGGGAACAAGCTAGGCTTTAATGCCAGCATAAAAAGCCTTCCCCTCTCCTGCTTCCCCCCTCATAAAAGAGGGAGTGCTGTATGAATAGGAATTAGAGCAGCAACACTATCTGCCCGCTGCCCAGCTCTGCCAGCTGTTGCATTCAGCCCTGCTTCCTGTCCCTGTGCCAGGAGCTGGACCTCTGGGGCAGCAGCTGGGAGCGCAGGGAGACTGGGCCAAGCCCACAGGTTCTCCTTATCCCTCAATGCAAGGCTCCGAGCATCTCCCTGCCCCAGCTCCTGCCTTCTGCTGTCAGTACCCTGGCGCGTAGCAGTGACAAACCAGGCTTTCTCCATCACAAAATACACGGTTTTAAATCCTCATCTTTCTTCCAATGCCTGGTTTCCAATGAAAATGAGACACATGCAAATCATGCTGCCTGTCCATCAATCCCTTACCTACTGCTTTTTGAACCTGCTGGCCAATTTCAATGCTATTTGACAGCAGAATGAGCACAAATTATCCTATCATAAGGCTCTTGGAGAGAGCTGGAGTGGGATCCTTGGTAGAGGTGTGAGCTAAACCTCATTAGACATCAGAGGACCCACGGGGACAAGAGGCTGCTCCCAAGGGCAGGAAGGGCCCACATCAGAAAAAGTGTATTTTTAGACATCAAGTAATTCTTCTATGGTATGCAGATCCACAGGAAACCACCTTTCAAAAGCCCTTCTGCTTATCACACTGCTTAGATATTTGAAAAGATACTACTTCCTGTGGACACATTTTTTCTTGAAGTTTTATCTCCATCTTTTCTTCAATCATAAGCACCAAGGAAAAACCCAGCACCAGCCAAGATTCTCACTGTAGCCATGGGCATTCAGGAAAATGTCAAACTCCATGAGAAATTACTTTCTTGACATGTGTCAGCCCAAGCTGCTCCTTGCATGAAGCACCTCCAGAGGAAGACTCTGGATTGGATTTCCTTCTGCCTTGCAAAATCAAATACCCACTGCAATGGGAAGCAGGAAGGGGCATAGCCAGGATGAACAGCAGCTCTGGGGAGGAGCAGGAACCTTAATTCCAGCAGGTTCATGGGGCTTCCCAGTTCCCAGATGGTCTCAGCAAACACAGCAATGATCATGTGGTGGTTGTTAAGAGACAGCTTGCTGATGGCAAACCTTCCCTTGCCAGTCCAGTCCACGCCAAATTATCCCAGGGCTGCAATATGAGAAACCTGTAGCACTATCTTCTTTCCTTCACAACAGCCCTTACACCTACTCATGCTCATCTCTGGCTTCAAGGGATCCTGCTTTTCCTCTCCCTACCAAGGATTTCTGTTCTCCTGTGGAGCAGGGTCATGGGGAGAGGAGGCAGTGGGGATGGAAAAACCACTGGCAGCTAATCCAGAAGTTCAGCAGCTGCCGCTGGCATTTCAGAGTGTGACAGCTTTCAGGCTAGATGCCAAACGTGTCTTAGGTTCTAATCTCTCTGTCAGGTCACCTAGTGTTTGTCAATCACGCACTGCTCCCCCAGGGGCCCGTTGGCACAGATGCCATCAGACAGGATGCAGCAGACGCTCCTACCCACCATCCATGCATCTGGAAGATCAGCATCAGTCAGACCCCCAGGCTTGCTCCTCTTTAGCCCCTGGCCCTGTGTCCTCCCATCTAAAGCAGCCATGAGCAAACATTTGCTGGTGCAGCATCTGGGCTTTGGGTGCACTTGAATTTAACACTTCCCAGAACGAGCTTCCTCTTCAGCTCTGAGCCTCCGCAAAGGGCTGCTGTCCCATGGCAGAGAGCTCCAGTGAGCCCCACGGGCAGTTTGCAGTGACCTTGCTGGGATGAGATCACTGGTGGTGTGTAAATAACTCCCTGATGCAAGCCAAGCAAACGGGGGGAGGGGGGGGCCGTCAGCCCCTGCCTGCCTTTCCTCCCAGCCACAGCCTGTAGCACATCCAAGGCCAAGGCTGCAAAGGTTGGCCCTGGGCAGGGAACAGCACAGTCTCCATGAGCCTGACGTATCCTGGAAGAAAGGACCCCTTCCTGGCCTTGGGAAGCAGGTGGGAGTCTGTTTTAACCTCTTTCTCCTTGTGCTTCCTCTGGCTAAAGCCAGGACACAAGTGCATGAACGTCCCCCTGCAGACACACAGATGTATATGTACACACATGCACTGCTGCAGACAAGCCCATACATGGAAGCACACGTTCATTAATACATGCACGTTCACACATGCCAATGCACTGATGCTCTTGCACCCTGCATGCACACGTGACTGTGCAGCAGAGCATCCGTGTGCAGGCATGCAGGTCTAGGAGGCCTGTTTGCATGCTAGGATGCAGACTGGGGTCACACATATGGGTGTACAGACATGACCATCTCTCTGTGCATGTGCGCAGGCACGCAGGGACACGCATGCAGGTTATAACCACAGCCTTTTATTATGTCACCCAACCGCCTGTAATAAATAGTTACATGTCACACTACATGGCTTGGCTGCAACTGACAAAGGTCCTGCAAGGCAGGAGAAGCTATTATTGGAACAGATTGCAGGAATAAAATATTAAATTTCCACTTATCAATCTCTTTAATGTGCTATAATTCTAATAGAAGTGTTCAGCCTTCTCCCTGCGAACAAATCACCCTCCCCAGGAAGGGGCTGAACTGTCCCTGCACTCCTGTCTGGAGCCAGGGCTGGGAGGAAGGATGCTGTGTTGCAGGAGGAGGGGAGTCTGTACCCAGGGACACAGGAGGGGGAAAAGCTGCTGCAGGGTTTTCTCTGCATCAGCCTTCTGTTTTTTCTCCTCCCAAGGCTGGCTGCTCCCTAGATTGAACTCCATTTATTGCATGCAGCTCTTGAAAGAGGTTTCGTGGTCCACTGACAATCCCTAAATTGCCTGCAAGACCCAAACAAATGTACCTGTAATAGCTGAGCGAGGACGGCTAAGCCCTCCCCAGCACTGGCCTAATCGGTCCTTAGAGAGAGCTGGATAAACATATTCAGATCCCATGAATTATTAAAGGCTTTTTTTATGTGGTGGAGGCCTGGCCTAACAGATTGTCTGGTAATCCCTCCTGGCTGGGCAGCTGCAGGAGTGCCCTTCCTTCCCTCTCGTTTAACCTCAAACCCTATAACCCGATCCTTTGGGAATAAATTGAGATTAAAGGCAGGCAGACATCAACCCAGCGTCATTCCCCCAAAATCCTGCCAGTCCCTGCTTCCCTTGCCAGCACTGCACTGATAGAGCATGAGAGTGATGCTCTATTAGTCCCCTGAAAAAACACCAGGAAGGGCGAAGCCCAGAGGGGGAACCCACAGACCCTTGTCCCTAAAGGAGCCCGTGCCCATGCAGGCAAACCGGGCTGCAATGCTATTGTGGTGCTGAGACAGATAAGCAGCTGGCAGGTGGCAGTAGGAAATATGAAGACAAGGCTGTATGTGGTGTTTTGGAACATGTGCCCTGACACTGCAAGAGATACAGGGTGGCTGGATAGACAGAATGACAGTAAGAAATGGACATACAATCTACGCAGAAATGGAAAATGAGCCATGGTGAAGAGAGCCTATTCCTCTAAGTCTTCTGCAACATCCATCCCACCTCCATCTCTGTGACTGGGGACTGAGCTTGGAGGCTTATTCTCTCCGATCATTGTTTCCAGTGTGACCCAAGGTGCTTGTTAATGCATGGGATTGTTTTCTATTGCTGAAGGAAAGCAAGTCTGATAGTTTGTACCAGGCAGTTGCCTGCACTTTCCCAGAAACAGTGCATTTGGTGGCAACTCCCATTAAAAGGCTGGTGGCTGAATGGATTTTGACCTTCCCCTGGGCTTCAGGCAGTTGGGCAGGGCTGGGCAGGGTGCTGCTCCACATCTGTCCTGAACAAAGAGCTGTGTTCTTCTCATGCCTTTCACTGGCTAATGAAAAATCCCCCAGAGAAAAGCATATACCAGCAGGCAAGGATCCAGGACAGGAGGTGTGAATTAAAGGCTTGCTACAGTTGATAATGATCATAAATAAATACTTAGTAATTAGCATCTAATTAGCACATCCCATCCACTGACCTCCAAGCACTTGGATAGAAGAAGATTAGCCTTATTTACCCATGTTGCAGAAGAGGGGAACAGAGGTGGCGAGGGTGCCAAACACAGTGTTATTGCTAATTTCATGAGGTCAGCTGCCCAGGCCCCCTCTTTATGCTTGCCCAGCACTCACCACTATGGAGAGCCAGTGAAGAGAGCTGCAGCTCAGCCCGCCTGATAAGCCCATTTCATCACTCCAAGGTTAGTCAGCTCTCCCAGGACTGGCGTAGCTAAAGGAGGTGGCTGCTACCAGGTCTGATTTGCCTCAGGCTGGACAGCAGGTAGGGCTAACAACCCCATGAACCTTTCTTGTGTTTCCCATGCCTTGGAAAGCCCTCAGTGCGCCTCATTCCCCATCCAGTCTGCAAGCACCAACTCTGTCTGCGGTATATGCAGGATGCAGGCTGCACTCCAGCTCCCCCAGCTGCAATCACAGTCCTGCTGCCCTCCCCAGAGAAAGCAGGTCTGGAGCTACTATACCGCACGGTCCCTCCTGTGAGCCCAGCTGGAAAAGTGGCCATATGCCCTGGTTTGTGCTGCCTGCTCACCTCGTCTGCATCCTGTGATGTTACTCCATTCTGGAGCCCAAACAATGCTACTCAAGTGCTACTCACAGCTTCTTGGTAATGTGTGGCAGTCAGATGAGCAAGTGCACAGACCAACATGGCCTTGGACGGAGCACAAATGAAAAACCATGAGCATTGCCTAACATCAGAAGCACCAAACATCATCCTGAACAAATGACTCATCCATCTTATGCTTTACTGCCTCAGTGGTAGTCCATACCTTCATCCTACTCCTACTTTCTAACAAACATCTCCTTGTTGTGCCTTTGCTTCTAACATATCCAATGATCTCTCTGAATTCAAAGCAGAAGACAAGAGGGAAACAAACTGAATGTGTCTTGGTGTAAGAAAGGAAAAGATAAAAGATGACAAGAGGAAAGGAGAAAAAATCCAAGCCCAAACCAGTACAAAGAAAAGAACTTCACTGCTCCCTTCCCACCATGAAACTCCCACCCCTAGGAGGGAACACTGATGATTAAGACAGACATTAAGGAGACATAACTGACTGGTAGCTGTCAGCCACTCCTACTCTTCTCTCCCCACCTCCTCCTCCTCCTCTTCTGTGTTTCAAAGCACACCGAGTGTTTTCCTACCTGTGACATTGACTTCCACCAAGCCCGACCGGGTACCAATGGCATTGGAGGCCTCACAGACATAGGTGCCAGCCACGCTGTAGGAGACAGGCCCTTTAAAGTAGATGGTGTTATTCTGGATTTCCACACTCCCTGGCAGAGTCCCATTTGGCCTAGAGGAAACAAAGAGGGTAAATCCATTGCATGATGAGAATCAGGTTCTTTACATGGATTGTTTGGCTTTTTTTCCCCTTTCTCTGTGATTACAAGAGAGATTGGACATATTTGGGTTACCTACAGCCCCCTGGATTTGGCTAACGCCATGTGGAGCGCTTTCAGTCTCTGTTCTCCCCTATCCAGAAAAGAGAGAGCCTTAAAGTGTTTCATTTTCCAGCACAATCCCCAGGGTCACTCTTGTTTTGGGTGGCTCACCTTTAGCAGGCTCATCTTCAGTGTTCCTCCAACCCTGACTTTCCATTTGATGGAATACACAGGAATGAGACACCAGCCTGACCCTGGTTTACTCCAGTTTCCTGTCCATAGGAGTCTCCTGGGCAGCTGATCAGCCAGTGCTAATTGCAACTCAGCTCAAGTGGCATTGATTTAGAGCCCTGCCATCTATGACCTGCCCATGTCAGAATAGTCAGATAGCTGTGAAACTGGTAAAATGCAAAACTAGGTCTAGAGATACACAGAATAAATGAACAAAAGCCGATAAAAAATAAAATCAAAACCCCTGTGTGTTAGGAAAAGACACACATGGCCTGGTTATTCTTAATTACTGAAGCAAAGTAAAGTAATTACTTCTCTTAGGCAATTAAAAATTACTTAAGTCATTCTTTCCCCTCCTCCCAACAAAAATGTGCGCATATTGTCAGCAATTTGTAAGAAACAAAAGGGAATAATGGGGGTATAATTAGGCTTGTAAAGAAGTGACTAAACACACATGCACATATTTTGCATGCACACATAAGCACATATGTATATCAAACACATTAAGTCTTTCCCAGCTACTTCAAGCCAATGATCCCAAAGCTGACAGAAGAACAGAATAGCCTTACGCTGGTCCTCTGCCTACAGGGCCCTGAATCTGCAAAGAAAAGGGTGCATCTAAAAACTGGTGTGTGATGCTAAAGAAGGCTATTGCTTCCTCTAACAGCTCCCCTGAGTGTTGCTCTGCAGGGATGACTGGTTTTTACATTCCAGGCAGGAGCCAAACATCATCCCCCTCCCTTTCTGCCTCTATTTCCCTCAGTCTCACTTGCTCTCTCTATTTTCCTCTTCTTCCACCTCCATCCTCCTTATCTTCAGGTGCACTCCATCTTTCCTTTCCATCCTCCTAGGTCAATAATCCTGTACACTGTCCTAACTGACCCACCAAGTGTCCTGGGGAATCAGGCTGAAGCACTGTCAGGCTCAGAAACCTGTACTCTCTAATTCCTTGCTTTCTCTCTCCATTATTCTTCCCACAGTTCCTTCTCAAAGCAAAGTATTGATGCTCCCAGGTGTAAGTCAAGAAACCCTTGCAGGCTAAAGACAGACAAATGGACATATGCACAGCTCACAGAGAATCCACAGGAAAACAACTCTTTCCAGTGTTAAAAAAAATCATCAATCAGATAAGCACATGGGGACCAACTCAATGCCTGGCTCACAGAGATGCTATTCCCAGCTCTGCCAGAACTAAGTTTATTACCAGCACAGTGTATAAATCAGGTGTGCAAATGACATGTCATAGTCATGCGGTTCCATGCTCAGCCCTGACACCTGCATCCCCTGTTGTGTTTGAGCCTAGTTGGTAACTAAACCTCTTTCTTGCCCTGGGCTGCAGAAACATCACCTGGCTGAGACATTTGGCACCTGGTGACCCCGTGCTTCAGCTCTCAGCAGAAGCAGACTGCTCCAACAGAGATCAGGGTCACTGACAGAGCTGCCACAGACAGCCTGATGCCCAGGAGCCCAGCAAGCACTCCGCCTCCAGACTTGCATGTAGGCAATAGCAGAACAAAGGGATGAAATGACTTGCCCAAAAGCAGAGCAAACCCCTGCCTTCTGTCCCCAGCTCCATCTCACAAGGCTTGCTTCAGCTCAATTCACGAGTCCTGCTGCACAGAGATAGCCTAAACTGGAATCTCTTCTGCCTTGGGTGCCACAAGGCGCATCTTTGCCTCTAACGCTTTCTTGGCAATGTTGTGAGGAACTCAGAGAGCTCCTCAGAGTTTAAGTTGAACTGGCAGAACCAATCGAAGAAGAGAGATGGGAACAAGAACTAGAAAGGCGGCAAGAAAAACAATCCTCTTCAGTCTTTCACTGTGAACAGTTTGATCTGGGAAGCGAAGTAAGAGTGAATATGCCTAGCTCCTTACAAAGCCATTTTGAGAGCCTCTTTCCTGATGACAAATGCCAGCTGCAAAGAAGAAAGGATCCATTTGATCTTTCTTTTTTAAAGCTACATGAGTGCCTCTAGAAAAAAAAGAGGGAGAGAGAACCACATCAGGTTGCATCAATTCCCATCCGACTCCCCAGACACCCCTCACTCACTTTTCAGTCCCTTTAGTGTGTTCAGCCAAAAGCTGAAACCCTGAAGGATAATGAATTGATTCTGTTTAATGTCAGTCACAGGGGGATGAGTGTTCCAAAGGGGAGCTCCTGCTCACTGCTGGGGCTGATTCCACAGAAAGGCTTTTTGACATGGAGGCAATTTTTGTGCTATTTGCGCCCCTTTAAGGAAGGGCAATCTTGGGTTCTTTTCCAGCTCTGCTACTGAAGCACTTGATTGGTGCTGGGCAAATTATTCACCTTGTCATATCTCAGCTGCTTCACATCACCAGAGCAGAATATTATTCCAGTCAAGTGAGAATAGGAAGTTATCCAGGGTATTGAGGCTGCACTACATTGGTAGCAAGCTCCATCCCAGCCCAGTAGAGAGGGGGTGTGTATGATCCTTACCCATGGCCCTTCACTCCTGCATCTGAGCTGGAAGATGCTGGGGGAAGACCCAGCTGAAAGGCAGGGGATAAGCTCTATCCATTGCAAGGTGAGGTGGCACTGTGTGGCTCAACTGAAATGCTAGTCCCATCTCTGTCAGCAGGGGCCATAGGCCACGTGAAACCAGAATCAGCTCCAAGCATTCTGCAGAAGCACAGCTCCAGCAACTACAGCTGACCAACTCTCCCCTCACATGCACGGGTTTTATCTTGGACATTACCACTGACAATAATGCGACTGGGCCCTAACTCACCAAAGGGTGACTGAGGTTTTTATACAGACTCCTTGGCCCTGTTTGAAGACCGTATGTGCTGCTGAGAGCAGCAGCATTGTAGACACTTACAGCTTCCATTCATAGGTGTGAGCTGGGGGATTGGCATCAGATTTGCATATCAGCTTCACATCCTTTCGGTTGAGGAACCAGTTGCCATCAAAGCCCTCGATAGTGACTTCTGGTTCATCTGCAGGGGGATGAAAAAGATAGAAAAGCAGGATGGAAAAGGAGAGAAAAGAATTATGGAAGAGGAAGAGGGACAAAATTAAATAGGAAGAGATGAGGGGGCAAGGGTGAGAGAAGGAGAAAGATTGGAAGGTGGGAAAGATGGTGGGACAAGGAATGTGAGAGAGAATGAAGGAGAGAGAGAAGGGGAGGAACCAAGGGACATGGCAGAGGCAGAGAGAGAAAGAAAGAGAAAGCATATGATTATTCCAAGCTTTCACTCTGCAGAAGAAGAGAGCAGCCCCTACTTCAACCCCTGCAGCAGACCAACATGTTCCAATCAGAACAATCCCTTTTTTGTCGGATGGAGCTTTCTCTCCAGCCCTGCCCATGCTCACTTACACTGCACATTGAGGGTCATGCTGTCGGTGAAGCGGTCCAGCTGGTAGTTGACCACACACATGAGCTGCTGGCGATGGGCCTCCCGGCTCGGCACCAGCCGGGCCCGGCGCAGGCGCTGCTGGGGGTGGCCGTCCGGGCCCGCCCCCAGCCGGTACCGGCTGATCACGGTGATGGTGCCATTGCTATTCCGGATCTCCTGGAACTCCGCTTCCCCTTTGAGCTTGGTGTCCCACGTGACAGTGCTGGGGGGCTTCCCATTAGAGGAGGTGCAGGTAGCCACCAAGATCTTTTCTGTCCTGCCAGACTTAGCAATAAGTGGTCGCTTGGTGCCCTCCATCCAATTTGTGGGCTTGGCTGCAAGGAATTGCAAAAAGGAAGAGAAGGGTTAGGAAACCAGTACTACCCTCTCTACTACAACCCAAGAGACATCTAGCACCACTGAGCCTGCTGCTGAAAATTGCCAGAAACCTATTCTGTGGAAAGAAGGGTGGAGGTCCCCCAGAGGCACAGATACATGATGGAAAGTCATTCTTTTCCTGACATAAGTTTTCAGCGCTGTGTTAGAATAAGAAACCAAAATTGGAGAGCAAACGAATCATGCAGATCTTGGGTGGGGTCTGTTCACTCACAACCTAAGCTCCATGGACAAGCTCTACTTGTGCATACGATCTTCCTGTTGTCTTTTCTCTGGTCACTTGACAGCCACCAACTTATCACAACTCACCACTCCCTTAGGGAACAGGCCACTGTTATTGCACCTGCATTAAGAGAGAGGGGAACTGATTTCCTGTGAGAGCTCAGTGAACCACCTACCCTGAGTTCCTTGCTCTTTACCTCTTTTCCCTGCTCTTTACCTCTTTTAAAGTTTACAGTCAACTTGAAAGATCACCATAGGTAAAAGTCACACCCAAGATTCACCTTTGCCCTAAGCTCCCAGGAAATGAATCTCAGGCTCCTCCAGATCCGTTTAACTAGAGGCAATGGTTCACATGACAGAGCTCATGCAGTATCTTACCCAGCACAGTGAGGTTGAGTTGACTTTCCCGGTTGCCAGTTGGGAAGGTAGCAAACTCACAGATGTAAACTCCCTCATCCTCCAGCTCTAGCCGAGAGAGCTGAATGGTGCCATCTTTGAAGGAAGGATTCCGGAAAGTCACCCGCTCTTTGTAGGGCGAGAGGATGGAGACCCCCATGGCAGGGTTGTAGATGGCCACATTCTGCTTGGAGCCATTGGTGGCTTTCTGCCACGTCACTTGCGTTATCTTCACATTGGGGAGTGGATTGGTGAAGCTGCAGTGCAGGACCACGTCTGTTCCGATAAACCCCGAGACTGTGTCATTGACTAAGACAGTCTGAGCTTGCAGCCCTGCAATAAAATGGAAAGACATGAAGATACCTGTACTTCTCAGACAGAGAAAGTGAGAAAAAGAACAGTTCTTGGACATCGGGCCCATTCCTTTATTCATTTTTCTGCTTCTTGGCATGGCTGATACGAGATCAGTCTGTGGCTACAGGCACCCATTATCCTCTGCAACTACCTGCATCCACCTCCATGTCCTGCAGCTTCATTCCTGTTCATAAACACCTTCCTTTCCCCAACTGGTGTTTACTCTTCACTACAACCAGCCCTAATGCTCTGCAGCCTAGGGTTCATGATCACCAAAAGGCATGAGGTTGGATCAATAATCCTTTCCTTCCTTTTGTCTTCGAATTTGGATGACACTTAATCAGTTACTGTAAATATAGAGAGCATGCGTATCTGGAGGCACATGAAAGCACTGATATTTATCAGCACAGCATATTCTAACATATGCTAACACACACTCAGATGTCCATTTAATCCTATTGCAAATGCATCAGTAATTAAGTGAGCTGCTAAGACTCAGCCCTGATTTCAGAGTAACAATAGTCCCCATCTAAGAACAGATTTACAGCAGTGCCTATACACTTTGCACGATCTACTTGCATGATCTAGATTGTTTCCGTGGCCTTTTATTAACCCCCAAAGTGGCTGCATTTAGGAACCTTCCACCTGTGAAGTAAAGATGAAAGGTGATTGGGCAAAGTGGTGGCTGGTGTTCATGACTGCTATTCTGTCTCAGCTGATTCCTCCCCTAACAGCTGGAGTAAAATGTCTCCCACCAGACTGACCCTGAAATTCATC